CTGCCAAGCCGTTTCTTTGTAATTTGGAAAAAAGTGTTAAACCCTTTGTTCACGTTTAAGTTCATACTACCAAATCGATTTAAAAAAATCAAAAACTGTTCGAAAAATATTAGTTGGGAATGATACAGATTAGTTTTAGGTGAAAATCTACCGATCCATTTTCTTGTAATTAACTGTTGAAAAAAAAAAATAAGCCGATTTTTATGGAACTTTTTTTGGCGATATATATTCCATGGTCCTATAGAACTTTTTGAACTATTACGGTCTTACAACAAGTAGTTTAATTTTAAAAATTCATCAAAGTGTGAGAAGAAGAGAAGTTTTTTTGACGTTTGTTAAAATCAAAATTAGACGATTTACTTAGTATAATGATAGAGTACTTGGTCTTATTAAACATACTAAACCATTAAAGTCCTCCGGATACTAGTATTTTTAAAAAATTGTTGATTTTTAAAAAATTGCTTTAAGAAAATACTTCGAGAATTAACGTGTTCGTTTGTTTCCAATTATGTGTAATAAATCCACTCGGAATACTTTTAATCACTCATAAATTAATTTATTTTTTATTGATTAAGTCGATTATTCACGCATTCGGGAAGTTCATGTAACTTGCCTCAAGGCAAAATACCAATACCAACTAGTCAAATTTGGTCTCATTTGATTCAGAATGGCTTGAAACATCGAGATAACATAAGATTTAGAACTGTCAAGAACAGTCATTTTCAAGAACCGGTTCCAAAGTCCAAAAAGGACCCGGTTCCGAAAGAACCGTGATCGGTTCCAACCCGGAAAAGTCCGGATCGATCCCGGAAAATTCCAGACCGCTCCGGAAAAAAGTCCGGCTACTTTTTTCTTATTAACTTCCCGTAGAGTAAGTTATTGTAATGGGCCGAAAATGGAAATTGAAAATTTTTACATTTCTCGACGTTTTGAAAGTTTCTGAACATTTTGGCATACCTCAGAAAAAATGGATGTGTGTGTGTATGTATGTATGGATACAAAATTCCAGTCACGTTTTCGGGCGCACGGATCAACCGATTTGAATGGTTCAAAAAACATTCGATTTCTATTAATAGGGAAAAGAGCTGATTAGTTTTTGACAAAGGCAGGTCCAGCCGTTACGGAGATAGGGAGCAAAGAGTGCAGAAAATAGAAGTCGACTTTTTGAGAGAACGGTGTATCCGATTTGAATGATCTAAAAAACATCCAATTAGTAATGATTGGGAGAAGTGTTTATCAGTTTTTGGCAAAGGCAGGCCCAGCCATTCCAAAGATACGGAGCTAAATGTGTAAAAAATGGCAGTTTTTGAGAGAACTAAGCGTCCGATTTAAATGATTCAAAGAACATTCTGCTTGTCTTAACAAAATAATTGATTTTAGAGAAATAACATTTTGTTTCAATTTTTTCTTTTTCAAAATTTTTTTTTTTTTTTGTATATCGAAAATAATTCAGATTTTACTTTTAATTCTGACTATAGTTCTAATATACTTCAAACAAATAATTTCAACTTTGCAATTCAGTTTATATAATTCTTATAAATATTAGACAATGTTACAATATTAATAATAATCTATTTGAAAACATTCAGTATTCCTCGAACATTTCGTTACGGTACGGGAAGTTCCAGCAATTTGCCTTAAGGCACGATGCCATACACCCCACTAGTTTTTCTATTCAATCACAAACATCCGTTTCAAGCTACGTGTCTCGCTTTTTGTTCTTGAAATTTTTTTTGTAACCCTTTGAATTTTTTAATATAATTATAATTAACACTTTTTTGTGCATTACTATTTAGTTATATATTTGTTTGCCATGAATGCAATTCTCAAATTGGAAATTGTACAGTCGAATAATATTTAGTCTGCTTTCATTATTAGGTTATATGTAATTTTCATAAACTTTTAAATAAATAATTATAAAATTTTTCATAAACCAATAAATTTGAAGCTTATTTTTAGTTTCTTTAGTTTTTAGTTTCTCAATTAAAGTTTTCGATATCCATAGCAAGAGGCGGTTTCTTTTGATCAGGAGAATTTACAAAACTGGCTGCATATAGTATTAAAAAAAGAACATATTATTAAAAGTATTACAACAAAACGCCTTAGTTTAATTGAAATAAATAGTTTACTTCATAAAAAGTAATTTAATTTCTAAATTGTTAACTTCATAAAAATATAAAAATTTCATACTTTGATAACCCTTTTTTTTATACCTAAGCTCTTCCCATTATGTAATTCGACTCTTGCAGTCAGAGAGCAAGTGGACCTTATGATCATAATATTAGTAAATGTACTAATACATATATATCTAAATATTTCAACGCAGAAGCGTCCTTTTAGAGCCTGACGATTGTACATCGACTCATAAATCGTAAAACAACAAATTTCAAAAAATCCTTCGAGTTTGCTAATTAACTTTGAAATATTGCATATTTTAAAATAGTGTTTCATAAATAAATAACAAATATATAAAATAATATTTACTTGAAACATAAACTAATATATTTTACATAAACTGATTTTTTTTAAATGACAGTAGAAGTATTTTTATTAACTTGTATATCGTTTGAAATGTTGTTGAAATACATAAATATTTAGTTTCAGAAATAATATTTTAGACGGATTAAATAAAATGCGGCTCTTGTAGTCGGGTGTTGTCTATTGAAAATAGTAGGTGGTCTTTCTGAAAACAAGTGTCAAAGAATGATTTGGAGAAGTCATTAAAATCAATATTTATGGGCTAAAGACTGATGGCTCGCAATGAAAAAATTTAGACTAACACATATAACAATGTTTAATTTCTCAGAAGTAAAAAGCTACATATTTCAAAATATTTCATACTAAAATATTTAACAATTATAAAATGTTATTATTTTACTTAAACAGTATAGAATTTTAAAAAATTCACGTGAGCGAATTGATTTGTATGATATTATATAATTTAGATAATAAACATTTGTTTCAGAGACTGTATATCAATTTAATGAATTCATATTTTTCTTCATGTGGATTGATCGAGAATAAATCAAGCAAATTTCATAAAATAACTGCAATACATTAGCTGCGCAGAAACAAAATATCTAAGCGCGTGAGCGCCGCGTCGCAGTCAAACGGATAAACATTGGTATGGAACCCATAGAAATTCGTTCCTAATATTATTCATAAAATATATGATAATTTGATGTGCATATGTCTAATGAAATGGTATTAGAAGTCCTGCTTAAGGCAAAATGACACGGCAAATGTGGTCTCCAACAATACAGAACGACTTATTAGCATAATATTATCCAGTCAGATTTTCTGGTTCCAGAACCGGTTTTCAAATTTTGGGAACCTGCGACGGTTCCATGTTTTTTTTGTATCATTTAGTCACCTACAACGTTTTATTTTTATATCTTATATTATTATTTTTAATTCTAATTAATTTTAACTCAACATTTCAAATATTCAAATTTAATAATTATTATTTATTTCCATTTCCAAGCCTAATTTCGATTCAAAATTAATTAACTTATCCGAATTAAGAAGTTAAACCTATTATTACTTTCGCGAAGGAGTACTTTGTTTTAGCCAGAAAATCTGACTGGATAATATTATGCTAATAAGTCGTTCTGTATTGTTGGAGACCACATTTGCAGTGTCATTTTGCCTTAAGCAGGACTTCTAATACCATTTCATTAGACATATGCACATCAAATTATCATATATTTTATAAATAATATTAGGAACAAATTTCTATGGGTTCCATACCAATGTTTATCCGTTTGACTGCGACGCGGCGCTCACGCGCTTAGATATTTTGTTTATGCGCAGCTAACGTATTGCAGTTATTTTATGAAATTTGCTTGATTTATTCTCGATCGATCCACATGAAGAAAAATATGAATTCATTGAATTGATATACAGTCTCTGAAACAAATGTTTATTATCTAAATTAGATAATATCATACACATCAATTCGCTCACGTGAATTTTTTAAAATTCTATACTGTTTAATAATAACATTTTACAATTGTTAAATGTTTTAGTATGAAATATTTTGAAATATGTAGCTTTTTACTTCTGAGAAATTAAACATTGTTATATGTGTTAGTCTAAATTTTTTCATTGCGAGCCATCAGTCTTTAGCCCATAAATATTGATTTTAATGACTTCTCCAAATCATTCTTTGACACTTGTTTTCAGAAAGACCACCTACTATTTTCAATAGACAACACCCGACTACAAGAGCCGCATTTTATTTAATCCGTCTAAAATATTATTTCTGAAACTAAATATTTATGTATTTCAACAACATTTCAAACGATATACTAGTTAATAAAAATACTTCTACTTTTAAAATTGTCACTTAAAAAAAATCAGTTTATGTAAAATATATTAGTTTATGTTTCAAGTAAATATTATTTTATATATTTGTTATTTATTTATGAAACACTATTTTAAAATATGCAATATTTCAAAGTTAATTAGCCAAACTCGAAGGAATTTTTAAATTTGTTGTTTTACGATTTATGAGTCGATGTACAATCTCGTAGACAAGAAAAACATAGTATATGTAATTATTTTATAAAATAATTTTTTTTTCTGGTATGGTATGTATATATTTTAATTATTTTAAATATAAAATTGAGATTATTTTTTAAAAAATCTTTGTAAATATTTTTTAGATACTGTTACCAAAGAATTGCTGAATGATGATACAGAATCCGTGTCGAAACGTTTGTTATAAATAAATATTTTGTATTTATTTGTTTCTTTCATTTCGACGACTGGCTGAAAATTATATGTTAAAGAAGTTAGTTTTGATGTTGAGAAATATGAGTAAGTTCTTCAAGGGCAATACATCAAATAAAAGGCAAAGATTGAGAAGTTAATCTTTAATTTTTTCCAAACGTTTCGACATAGAATTTTATGTCATCATCAGTGGATATAAATAAGGTCTTAAATCAGTAACTAGCGTATGGCACATAATTTTGCATTATCATATATACACTAACTTGTTTTTTTGTCTTTGTTGAACAGAGAGAGTTTTCCGTACAAAATATATTATAAGGTTGTCAAATATCTCCCTTCCGCTTTTTTGCTCTTTATTCAATGCTTTATAAAAAGTGTTACAGTAATCGGATTTAGTTCAAATATGCGCCGTTTTGTTCGATAATCTGTTTCCATCTAGACGGCAACTTCATAATACCTCCCTCGTAGAAGCCCCCCTCCTTATTTGCGAAGAACTCGGACAGCCACTTTTCACAAGCCTCTTTTGAGTTCAACTTTACACCACCAAGGGCATTCGCCATGGACAGGAACAGGTGGTAATCACTTGGCGCTATGTCCGGGCTATATTGTGGATGCGATAAAACCTCCCATCAGAGCTCCCGTAGCTTCTGACGTGTCATCAACGAAGTGTGTGGTCTGGCGTTGTCCTGGTGGAACACTACACCCTTCCTGTTGGCCAATTCTGGACGCTTCTGGTCGATCGCCTGCTTCAAGCGGTCTAGTTGTTCGCAGTAGATGGTAGAATTAAGCGTCTGGCCATATGGGAGCAGCTCATAGTGGATGATTCCCTTCCAATCCCACCAAACACACAGCAAAACCTTCCTGGCCGTCAATCCCGGCATGGCCACTGTTTGGGACGATTCACCGGCCTTCGACCACGACCGTTTTCGCTTGATATTGTCGTATGTGATCCATTTTTCGTCGCCAATCACAATCCGCTTCAAGAATGGGTCGAGTTCGTTCCGTTTCAGCAGCATATCGCAGGCGTTGATTCGGTCCAGAAGGTTTTTTTGCGTCAAATCATGCGGCACCCAAACATCAAGCTTTTTTTTGTATCCAGCCTTCTGCAGATGGTTTAAAATGGTTTGGTGATTAACTCCCATCTCCTGGGCGATGTCACGAGATGCCACATGCCGGTCTAACTCGATATATTCCATGATTTGATCGGTATTTGTCGTCACAGGTCTTCCGCCGGCTGGCTTATCCATGGTGTCGTTTTCACCGGCTCTGAATCGTCGAAACCATTCCTCCGCGGTTCGAAGTGATAGAGTACCATCCCCCAAAATACCATTAATCTCACGGAACGTTTCTCTAGCGGATTTGCCTTTAACGAAGGAAAACTTTAAAATAGCGCGAATTTTGGCGTTAGTGAACTCCATGTTTACACGTATACGAGTTTACTCGTATAACTGTTGAACGCAATATCCAAACTAATCATGCATAGCGTCGTTTTGTAGGTTATGTCAAGACCTTTCAAATTTTGTACAGTATTGCCAGATACGAGCGCTTTGTACATAGCCGCGAAATTCAAAAGACAAAAAGGCGGAAGGGAGATATTTGACAACCATTCAACAAATATTTTGCTATGCTCTATTCAACAAAGACAAAAAAACAAGGTATATATATATATATATATATATATATATATATATATGTGTGTGTGTGTGTGTGTGTGTTAAGGTGCGTCCACACCTAACGAACGAACACGAACGAACTAGAGATGGGCTTATCATATCCGAAGCCGGATCGACTCGGATTTGACTCCGCTTTAGGGAGGAGTTATATCCGCTTAACAACTCCACGACTCCGACAATTCTGAAACCAAAATACTCGACACAAATGTGTTCTATAGTGCGTTGTTTATGTATCTAAGGATTTGTCAAATCCCATTAATTATTTGAAATGAAAATTATTCATAAATATCAATAAAATAATTTTTCTAAAAAATTCACGAATAAATGACGGGTTGTAAAGTTTCTCAGTCGACCAAATGATCGACTCAGTGACTCGTATTTTTAACAGTGTTGACCAAAGTAAAAACGCAAAACTTGAGAATCAAATTCAATTTAATTATTTCCTTCTGATGAGAAAATAATTGATTTTTGGATTAATTTTATATGAAAAATACGTAGTAAAATTTGTAATAAAAGCTTTGTAGTAAACATACTTTTGCTTTCAAAATTTTTCTTTCGCTATTTTCAGTCGAGAATTAATACTATATCACGAAGTTCGATTAGCATATTATTACTTTTACACAATTATATAATTGTGTAAAAGTAAAAATATATTACTAAATATTTTTTGCTGGTTAAATACTAATGATATCACTGATACATTTTGTACTCTAAAGTGTTGTTATTTCAGGCTATAGAAAAACCAGATTAAATAATATTGTAGTTAGAAATATGACCCCTTACTATATAATAAAATATACATTTGAGCTATTCACACTTGAACACAAATTCATTATTCTGTTTCTTTGAAGTAATGTTTTTGTATTTTCTGGAAAGTACACAATGGTATTTTGAGTTTTATACCTAAAAGGTCATATAACTGCCTCTCAGACGAGAAAGCGACCGCTATTCCTTCCCAAAGCAGAAATGCCAAAAACAGTAAATGCCTGCACGAATTAACATATTTAATACCAGTTTATTAAAGTCGGATATGACAAATCCTGTGAGACAACTCCACTCGGATTCACTCCGAGGGAGGAGTTGTATCGGAGTGATAACTCCGGAGTGAGTTACCCATCTCTAGAACGAACATAAATGAACGTACCAGAACGAACGGTAACAGCATAGTGTGGACGCCACAACGATCACAAACAAACATAAACAAACATGGCGAGCAATGTTCCGCAACTTGTCGGTACATCAAAGGGAATTGTTCGTTCATGTTTGAACTCGTATGTGCAGTGTGGACGCTACCACGAATGTAGACAAACATTCTTTTTTTTATGTTAAAATGTGCAGTCCTGCATTAGTTTATCTTGTGTTTATTATAAGATATTGCTGTTATTGACAAATTTTGTAAATTTGATGACTTTAAATAATTTTGCTCTTTCCCGCCACTTTAAATAATAAATCGGACGTTTCACGGTACATCCTCGAACAAAAAGATTCAAGCCCTCACTGCTATGAGGCGTTTGTTTGGAATTATTCGCGTTCGTTCGTGTTTCTGTTCGTTCTTCTTTGTATTTTCTTGTTCGACATGTTCGTTCGTGTTCGTTCGTTAGGTGTGGACACACCTTTGAAGAAGTTAATTTTGATGTTGAGAAATATGACTAAGTTGTTCAAGGGCAATACATCAAATAAAAGGCAATGATTTAGAAGTTAATCTTTAATTTTTCTAAACGTTTTGACATCGTATTTTATGTCATCATCAGTGGATCTAGAGAAAGAACATTGAGAAATTAATATATACCAGGAAAAAATGACAGAAATTGGAAAAAGAACTATAGATACAAGTATTATAATTATAACAAAAACAACAATTATAACTAAACAGATAGACAAACATAAGGAATGAAAGGTAAAAAAATATATTAAAACACACAAAGGCACAATACATTTACATAAATATACATATATGCAATACATATATATATATATATATATATATATATATATTTTTGAATATTCTTGAATTTGATGTTGATATATATGTTTAATTTGAGTTTAATATTCGGGCGTAACATCAATAAAAATAGTCTATTTTTATTGATGTTACGCCCGAATATTAAACTCAAATTAAACATATATATATATATATATATATATATATTTAATTCGGCGGTTGGGCTGCAAAAATATTACAAATATGTATCAACGTTGACAAAACTATCATCATATATATATATATATGATAGTCTTTCGTTGACCGCCGTAACGTACAGACGTGCCGTTTTAACTTGCCGCAATGACGTCGCAATCGACACCATTAGTGCCAAAATCAGAAGTGAAAAGTTCCTATAATTGCTGTGAAACAAAGGCCCCAAATGTAGGCATTTGTAAAAACTGCGGAAAAATGTACCACATTAGTTGTGCTAATAGGAAAAATTTCAAATTTCTATATCGTAATCTGATACAGTGTTGTGTTAACAGTGAAGTGTACAGTGACCATATGGAAACAATTTCTAGGCTTGAAAAAACAATTGCCGACAAAAACACCATAATAGAAGACAAAATTACCATAATAAAGGATAAGGAATACATAATTCAGCAGCTTGAGGATAAAATCAAGCTGCTGCAATGGGTAAATCTGAACCAAAAGAAGGAGCAGGTTTCTTCAGCTGCACCCAGTATTGATATCGATACTGAGAAAGCAGTCAATAAGAAATAAAAAAAAAGAATGAAAAGAAATCGAATGTTAACAAGAAAAATGATCCCAGCAAAATCTCAAGTGAACAAGTTAGTGTCGCAGTAGCAACGGCGCTGAAGAAACTGGAAGAGCGGAAAATTGAAACGTTCCGTGATGCCGTGGCGTCTACCGCTTTGCCTTCCAACGCCGTTACTAACAATAAGAGCGTAACAGAAGAACAAAATTGGACTTTGGTCCAAAGAAAGAAAGCGCCAAGGCGAAAGGCCACAACTATCGAAGGCACAAATGCAAATGCCGTGATAAGAGGTGTGGTGAAGCAAGCGCATCTACATGTGTTTCGACTGGCGCCAGAAACAACCGAAGAGCAATTGGAAAATTACCTGCGGGACAAAAAATTGGAAAACGTAACGTGAAAAAAAATTGCATCCAAACATTCAAACGTATATTCATCATTCAAGGTATCAGTTTTAGAATCAGAATTAGAAAAAATTAAATCGCCGGAAATATGGCCTCAAGGGGTATGCATAGATCGTTTTTTATTCAGGCTCCAAAAGCAACCAAGCAACGACAAGTAAATATATTAAATATACAATGTCTGAACATTCAATGCTTATCAAATAAATCAGCTTATATCATAATCATTTAAATCGGTTGATCCGTGTTCTCGAAATCGACTTGAATAATTAAAAAATATTACAAAACAGCTACGAAGCACGATTGTTTTGCAAAAAGTTCATAATTTTCGAAAAATTTCAAAATACAAAAAATGTGTTTCAAAAGTATTATTTTTTCATTTTTCAAAAAATTTTAAAGCTCTTTATAAAATGTAATTTTTAGTACGGGATGTTTCAGTAATTTGTCAGGCACAATGCCATTAGTCACTAGTTTAAATTTTTTTCGACGCTATGAGCTTGGAAGTGCACAAATTCGTCATTTTAAGAGGGCACGAGGACTGAAAAACATATTTCGCTTAAACTTTTAGCTTGTTTACGGATTTTTATATCAACCTAATTGTCAAATTTGATAACTTATTTATTATTTTTATAACTAACTTGATAATTTACGTTCGGAGAGGGAGGCAAGGCAAAATAATAAATTTTAGTTATCGGTTATTTCAATCCATTTTTTGCATTGCAATCGTATTATGTTTTGTAAATTATATTTCTTGAAATAAAAAATGTTGTTAAAAAAGTTGATTATATTGTATAGAATTTTGTTCTCACTATCCAAATTCTGCCGCCTCTCAAAATTTGCCGCCCTGGGCATTAGCCCCGATTGCCCCTACTGTAAATCCAGCACTGTATATATATATATATATATATATATATTAACAAAGTCTAATAATACATATGTCAACATCAAATTCAGAATCATACAAAATATATATATATATATATATATATATATATATATAAGAGGTCTGTTCAAAAAGTACCCGGAATTTTCGTTTTTTTCAAAAAATATTTATTTATTCGTCTACATTAATGTGGTCCCCTTCAAAGTAGTCCCCCCCAGATATAATACACTTATGCCAGCGTTTTTTCCAATTTTCGAAGCACCCTTGATATTCACTTTTTGATATGTCCTTGAGCACTCTCAGCGATTTTCTTCAATCGAGGAAAACCGCCGTCCTTTCATGGGTCTCTTCAACTTTGGGAATAGGAAAAAGTCACACGGAGCCATATCTGGTGAATTTTTGCACTTTGCAACACTTTATTTCATTTTTTACGCAAAATTTAATACAAATTCTTTGACTTTTCAATTCTTCCATTGTAAAAATCGCCGAGCTCAGAAAAACACGTCGAACCTTAGCGACTACCACAGACAAAGTAAACAGTGAATATAGCTGAAAATTTCATCATACTTTAGGGGCATGTATACCAACACAATAAAAAAAAAAATTTGACAATCAGACACTCCAGACTTTAGTCTAATGCAAATTGCTGGTACTTCACGCACCATAATTAAAAATTTGAGTAATAAAAACAATCAATAACTGTTTTAAATAATTTCAAATAGATTATCTTCTATATATATATATATAAAAATAAGTCGGGTTTTCCTTCCTGACGAAATAACTCCAGAACGCACGAACTGATTTCGACGATTTTCGACACTAATACAAATTACTGGAACTTCACGCACCGTAATTAAAATTGC